AGCAAAATTACATTGCACTTGGATCCTCCTTACAGGCTGATTTACTGCCAAGAAGAGCAGAGACCCATATGCCAAATTCAAATTTTCCTATGCAGCAGCATGGTGCATCTCTTCTTGGCAATTCTCCATGCATTTCTTTGAAATATCTTCTCTTGGAATTCCAGTATGTTGGAAAATAAAATGCTACTTAATAGATAGTATGTAAGTGCAATCATTGGCCACACCAGTAATTACCCAAATGTCAGAAAGATGTTCCTGCCTTTTGTAGACTTGAAAAGTGAGATTTAAACTGAGCTCATCCCTCCCCACAAAGATCTACAGATAGAATCTTCACCAGGTGATTGCAGGTGTTGGTTTAGGAGCCCTTCAAACAAGGACTTCTTCCCAGAAACAGAAGTGTAACTTCCCATAGCTGTCACACCTGACGTTTAGACTGAATGAAACAGTATCAGAAAACACTGATCTTGAGCCAAGGGTTATCACCCAGTTTTGTACCTCACCACTAATCAATCAAAGCCCACAGATGTATGGCAAATGTGAAAGAGGAGAGGAGACCTGATCTCTCTGCAGATCACCGTTTCTCTCCCAAATTGCCAAGGTGATATTTTGAGCCAGCAAAAAAAACTGTAGGTATTTCTATGGGAAATTAAGATGAAAAAAATTCACAAGACACAAGGAGGTTTTGTCTGATTAAAATATTAGATATTTTTCCTTTTACTTGAAAGTCAGGGATTTTATCAGCAGCAGCTTGCTTTATTACCTAGTTTTGTGTTTTTCATTTCGTCAATGGCATGTTTTCATCAGTATGAAATGTTATTAATAGGAGAGTTTTTCCTAGGGGTGTGCTTAGGTCTTTTTCAGAACCTTCCCAGAGTACCTGTTGAGGAACACATTTGGCATGGACTTGGAATGGTGCAGGTGTAACTATTTTGATATGTTCTTTGTGCTGGGTGCTCTGTAAGTAGTATTTCAGTACATAAGCTGCAAAATAAAGGGGGAAATGAGTCAGTAGAATTTAGAATGAATATTATTTACCTTTATTTACCTTATGAATGTTTATGATGGCATTTTATGTAACACCTTTTCTATATTAATGTGTCATTACTCAGCCATGAAGATAAAGTGCCCACTTGGATTTGCACATTATTTGCTGGTGATATTTTCTAATGCAGAGTTTGGCACCAGTAAGAAGTGACTGCTTTCCTAAGGCTTTGACCCACCCAGCTTTTCACCCTGGCTTTGGGTGACTTTGCAGGTGTTAAATGGGGTTGTGCTGAAGCAGGAGGGTCTGCCTACCAAAGATACCGCTCTCAGAGCTGTTTTAGTTACACTTCATCATCATAAGCATATGGTTTCACTTCCAAGTGTTTAACATTTCCATTTCCTCAGGAAATCATTCTTTCTGTTTTTTAAACTCTCGAAACTGGATGGCTGTTTTTGCTGGCAGGCGGAGCGGGAGTGACACGAGGATTAGCCCCAGCCCAGGGGAGCCAGCCCCTGGCACGGTACCTGCCGGGCTCCCCAGCCCCTCCTGCAGCAGCTCGTCAGCACGGCTCGGGGGGCTTCAGCCAGGTTCCTGGGGTGCAGCACCCTGTTAAAGCACTTCTGCCTTCCTTCCTGGAATCAAACTACCTGCTCCTTTTTAATTCTTCAGCTGAGAGAGGTGGTTTTGTTTCTTAGTCTGCTCCAGGGCACATGTATCCCAAGAATTAGATGAGAGCAGGCTCCTTTAGCTGCCTTAGCCAGGCCACTGGCAAGATCAGGGCCTAAGAAAATATTTTGTGTCACCTACAAGGAATGAAAGCAGTTGCATCATGTATTTATTGTCTGTATTGCTATATCCAGCACTAAACCAAACATGACCAAGGCGCAGTGGCTCCAGGGAACTGCTCTGGCTCTTGTGTTTTCAGAAATTATTTCTGGTATTTCCTTTTTCCTCATTACAAATGGGTCACCTTTCTCACGTGTTGGCCAAAGAACTCTATGCTCATGTCTTCTTTATGTTTCATTTATCCATAAATGTCATAATGTTTAGCTGCTTGTTTTCTTTTCAGAGAATCATAGAATCATTAAGGTTGGCAAAGACCTCTAAGATCAAGTCCAACCATCACTCAAATCTACCATGACCATTAAACTACGTCCCAAAGTGCCACGTCTACATGTTTTTTTGAACATCTCCAGGGATGGTGATTCCACCACCTCCCTGGGCAGCCTGGTCCAACACCTCACCACTCTGTCAGGAAAGAAATTCTTCCCAATATCCGATCGAAACCTCCCCTGGCACAACTTGAGTCCATTTCCTCCCATCCTATTGCTAGTAACCTGGGAGAAGAGACCAACACCCAGCTCACTCCAACCTCCTTTCAGGGAGCTGTAGAGAGCAGCAATGTCTCCCATGAGCCTTCTTTTGTCCAGACTAAACAATCCCAGTTCTCTCAGCAGTTCCTCATAAGCCATATTCCTCAAACCCTTCACCAGCTTCGTTGTGCTTCTCTGGACCTGCTCCAGCACCTCAGTGTCCATCTTATCCTGTAGTGCCCCAAACTGGACACAGTACTCAAGCTGTTTTTTGCTGCTATGCTATAAAGTACAGCTACTGGACGTGCAGTTTGCACGCATATTTAGCTGATATCACTGGCCCTTTTGTTAGAAGAGCATCTTCTGCTACAGTGAGTGTCACCCTGTCATAACAGCTTTGATAAACTGACTGCATTTTGTACAACAAGTGTTGTCACTGTGCATCAAATAGCATTGTACAAGAGAAAATATAGGGCAATCTAGATGAATAATGTATTTCTTCCTTTGTGTTTTGTTGTTACAAATTCAGACAGTCACATTTGTTGCAGTGCTGGTTTAAGATGTGGAAGCTTGCTGTGGGTTTGGGCTTCTGGAGGAGTTGAGTCCTGCCATCAGGCAGGCTGCGAGGGCCTGATACCAGGGTGTATATTTTATTCATCCCCCCAAGAAGAGTTAGTCAAGGTAGCAGAAAACAGCACCAGACAGATGTAGTTCAACCCCTAGACCTCCCAGGAGAGCTCCCCTGAGCTGCTCAGCCTCTGGCATCCTGCCAGCCTCTAGGACTCTGTGAGATGTTGTTTTGATCCGTTCAGGCTCTTTCCTCACTCCTTTGCTTGCCTTAGAGCCGTGCGTGTCTGCACAGCCCTTCAGCAGTTACCTCCTCCCAATAAAAGCTACTTGGTCAAGCACCACAAGCTTGTACCACTCACAAGGACACCCCCAAGGCTGCCCAGCACCCAAGCGAGCCCGCTGGCTTTCTGGCCATGCATGTGACGTAGTGTTCCACGTTGGAGGCTCCAGCTTGTGGAAACAAACCAGTGCCATGGGCTTGCTGCTGATAGCTAGATAGACTGGAGGTCAAGTTAAGATCTACGCAGTGATTTCAATCCATTTTCATTTGCTAGAGGGTATGAAAGCGTTGCAATCTTCTGGGTAGATTGAGTGATAAAAGTGGACAGGCAATGACAGCCACAAAATGGTGCTGGTACGTTATTCTAGACTCCTTCAGAAAAGTGGACAAGAGCAGGACCATACTGAATTAAAAGCATTCTACTTCAGGAACTGGCCCCTGAAGTACCTACAGGATGGGTGCTCAGAGATGTGGCTTGGGGCTAGCTGGACTGTGCTTTTAATTTGTTTAAACAAATTATAACAAGAGGCAGCCTTGAGTGCTTGTGCCCACCTGCCAGCCAGCCACAGGCCAGCGAGTCCAACATCTCATGAAGCATTTTCTGTTCAGGAGGGATGTCCTGGTTTTGCAGAACATGGTCCCCTGGGTGTGACCTGTGAGGAGAGAACCCTTTGGCTGGGTGCCTCCATGGCAAAGGTGAGCTCCATCAAAGCCATGTGCCTGCAGATGTTCTCTTTGGAGTGGATGGAGCTAATGGGTGCAGGGAGCCAAGGCAAAGGGGGAATAAAAGACATTGCAGGAGCAACTCCAGCCCTGAGAGAAAAGTAACCAAGGCACTGACAACTTGTGTGGGTTTCATATGTCTGTTTGCAGTGCTATGTTATGTGTTTAGAAGCTGGTTGTTTCCATAATAACAGCAAGTGCCATATGGCAGCGAGGAGGGTGGTGAGAGGAACGCTCAAGGAAACACAGTATGCTGTTTGACATGTGTGTGCTTCTAGAGGAATAACATGTCTCAAGCAAGTACTGCTGCTCCAAACAGGCTGGGGAGTTGCTGCTCTTACCAGAAAAACATCGAGAGCCCTCAGTATTTGTATTGGTGCTGTGCCAGTTAATGATGCCTGCCCTTCTCCTGTGTTTTCCTGCAGATGGTCCCTGTGATGGGTAAAGGACCTTCTTGCTTTCCTAGGAGTGATGGTTCTGGATGCACCAGGGTGTGGGAATGGCATTGAAATGTGGTGTTTAAGGGGAAATACAGTTCTGTAAAGGAGTGCTGTGTGAAATGGAAAGCAGCTAGGTGCCATATGCTCCATCCATTTGTTAATGCTCAGCAAGTAAATAGAAACTTTGAAACCTAACGTAGTTTGCAATAATTGTTTAGTAGAGAGTAGGATTTCCAGAAATGAGGGGCAGTTTATTGCATATCTAGGAAGCATCCAGGAAGGTCTCCACAAATTCCAGCTTTTCCTGCCCTTTAATGTATGACTCACATTTCAAGGACTTGTAATTTGCTCCCCACATTCCCACAGACACCACCAGTCTGAGCGGTACCTTTGCAGAGTGCATGTGCTCCCACCACAGAAAAATGTGAAATTATTTTTTTTCATAATAGCTGAATGGCTTTTGTGGGATTTTTACCAACATCAGCTCTATAAAATTGAGCCTCTCTTACTTGAGTCTTAAAGCCATTCATTATATTTGTATTTGGATACCTGAAACCTGGTGGCGGGGAGACAGCAGCAGTTCTGATTTGGGGTCTGCGCTCACCTGCAATGCTTTAAACTCCTAAACAACCCAAAAGGCAAAGCTCTTCTCATTTTCATGCTTCTCTTCTTCTCTTCATTGCCTCTAGAGAGAGATTACTGCAGCATATGTGAAAAGCAGCCCATCGGAAGGCTCCTCTTTCGGCAGTTCTGTGAAACTCGACCCGAGCTCGAGTGCTGCATTAGGTTCCTTGACTCAGTGGTAAGTCAATTCTTGTGATATTTTGGGGTGCTTTGCATCTCTTTCCTAATAGAGGAGACTCCCCTGACTCCAAGAAGTCACTGTTTGAGTGTTGGAGCGCCTCTCCTATGAAGAAAGGCTGACAGACTTGGGGCTGTTCAGCCTGTAGAAGAGAATGCTCCAGGGAGACCTTGTTGCAGCCTTTCTGTACTTGAAAAGCACCTATGCAAAAGATGAGAACAGGCTTTTTAGCAGGGCCTGTTGCAGCAAGACAAGGGCTGATGGCTTTAAACTAGAAGAGGGGAAATTTTGATTAGCTATAAGAAGGTTGGAGGTCCCGTCCCACCCAAACCAGTCTGTGATTTTATGATTGTGTGATTTTGTGTCTAAGGCACGTGGGCAAGCAGCAGACAGGGCTGACCCCGTTAGCATCCCAGCTTCACTGGCTGTAGCAGAGCGGTGCTGCACACTGGGTTGGGACCAGCCCTGGGGAGTGTGAGCCAGCAGAGCAGGACGAGGACAGACACCCCACCACAGAGCTGGCACACCCTCCCTGCGTGTCAGCGCCCAAGCAGCTGAGCTGCCTGAGTCATGGGGGTGAAGCCTGCAGTGCTGGGAGCTACTGGGAGGAAAGGGAAGATGATGAATGGGCTGACAAGAGAGGATGAGGAGTATGATGATACTAATATCTGTTTCTTACCAAGCCTTTTCATTGGTAGACTTCAGGGTGGTGTACAAAGAACATCCTAATTGTTACCCTGTTTTTTTAAATAGGAAAACAAAGGCACAAGTTATAAAAGTGACTTGGTTGAGATCACCAAGGCACAAATCTGCTCCATTTTCCACCCCAGTGAGCTATCAGTTAACCCAAGCACTGAGCAACACCCCCCAGCCCTGGGGGGACTAAATGCTCTTTCCCAGTCTGGCAGCACTTGGCCATGTGTAGTGCCAGTGGCAGAAACTACTCAGAGCAGAAAAGCCTCGCAGTGGTTTTCTTGCTGGGAGCCTGTGGAAGGGTGGTTGTTGTTAAGCCAAAAGGCTCAATCGTACCAGAGAGGAGGATGAACTTGTCACTGCTGAATGTGAGTGTCCACAGGGCTTCTCTCTCTGCCTAACACTGACAGTCAAAAGCAAAGTGATGCATTACACCAAGATGGAGTTTATTTTTTATTTGCACCATGGTGGAGCTATTCTGAAGTACAGGGAGATGTGAGGATTGCACTGAAGCTGTAAAAGTAAGTCTGGGAGAGGACGCACAGTCATTTAAAGTTTCTGTTAGTACTACAGTATCCAGAGGAAATCTACAGCATTACAGAAGGTGCTGGATAAAGTCCTTTTCGAATCAGTTTTAGCTGATCACAACTTCTGCCTGATACTTCCAGCATGTCCTGATTTTCCCCAGTGAAAGGATTAGCCATGGAGGTGTGTGAAACTGCTACCTCTGACACGCTCTGTGCAGCTCTGCTCCAGGCTCATGGGCAGGAGGACATTTCAGGCACTCTGGATGTGTTTGTCCCACACCAAGCTGGCATTGTCTAGTGAGACATCTGCCACCAAAGAAACACCACATTCTGGGGGGAGGCACCCCCGCAGAAGAGCCACATAAGGTGTGATGACAGCAGCTCCAAGGAGATGAGTGATGGCCATCCCTCTAGGAATCCTTTGGGAGACAGCCACAAAAGACTGCTTCCAAGTGGTTTTAATTTCAGACAGAAAGGACAGAGCCATCCTCCGTTTGGAGAGGGTTAGTGATGCTCCCTTCTTTTCTCACACCTCCCCACAGGAGCAGGCATCTCGTTCTGGTTCCAGCAGTGCCCAGGGACTGCAGAGAACAAGCCCACGTTGTGCAAGCCTTGTGCATGCCTGGCAGCAGGCACTCAGGGTGTACCAGTAACGCTGACATCAGTAATCACATCTGGGCAGAAGAGAACATCCCTGTCCCCCGGTGCGTGTCCCCAGTGCCACCGGCCCCAGAGCAGCTCGGGATGACCTTCGCTGCCCCAAGCCTCTCCCAGCCTCTCCCAGCAGCACCAGCTGCCTGGCCCCCCTCTGGCAGTGGGAATTGAGGGCACTGTGTCATTCCATTCTCCCGAGGCTCTGTGGAGTGGTGCCAAGCACTGGAGCTCCGTGTCCTCTCAGCATCCACGCAGAGCAGGCGGCACTGGTCCTCCGACAGCTTGTGGTGGGACTGGCGTTGTCTTCAGGCTCCCTCTCTGAGCAATCCTGGGCTGATACCACAAATCCTTTTGTGGGGATGTGCTTTGCACCCACCCTCAGGTTGCTTTTGTAGACTGGAGCTGCCCTGCGTACATTCACTGGGCCAGCAGTCTGCTCCCAGTTAGGCTCAGACTGGCAGTGCATGGATTTGATGAACTAAATGTCTGGCTGTGGGGAGGTCTGAAGATTTACTCTTTCTCATATTTAAATGCTAATTAACAGCAGTCTGCTTTGTTTATTGATTTCAAATTCTCTACAAGCTTGCTCCCAGCCCATGAAAATCCCTGTATTAGGCAATATTAAGGTCGAGCAATACAGCCCATAGCCATTAAATTGGCTGATTGCTACTGAAATTCACCCAGCAGGGTCACGCTGCATTGAGTGAGTAGTGGGATTCAGGCCAAGTCCTATGCTGGGCAAAAACGTCCTATAATGAGACCAGAAGTTTGACTTTACAACCCTATTCTGAGACCACCAGGAATGTGAAACCTTTTGGAGACCACCTGCTGTAACAAGCCCCAAGCAGGAAAAGCAAAGACCCTCCATTTTCTTTTGATCTTTTATTTTTCTAACATGAGATGCAAAACTTAGCTTTTGAGTAATATCAAATAAAAAGAAAAAAAAAAGAGAGGAAAATATTCAGCTGTTCATGAGAGGCTTGCAGAGCTTTTTGCACATTGAGCAGTGGGACCACCTCTCTTTTACAGAGCACAGCTATGTGACTTTACCAGGTCACACTATAAGTCATTGACAGAAGCCAGTAATTGATGCCTCCCAAATTTTAATACAGCTTTTTAACCATTCCACTGAACTGCCTGCAAAGAAAGCAGCTATTGGGGTTCCTGGGAGGAAACCAGAACCTGAGTCAGACACTCAACAACCCACCACCAACATCCATTCCCAGACTTATGGGAGGCTAAGTTTTGCAAGCTCTCTCTCAAACATTTGCTTCCAAATGCTGGTAAAACCAAGCAGACTTTGAAGACCAAAATATGTGAAGAGAAAAAAGAATCCCCTCTTTGCTTGACATTTACTTCAGTTGTTGAGTGAAATAACTAACCTGGTCTGATGTAGTCTTCTACAAATCTAATTATAGCAGCATCTGGGTTTTTTTGTCTGTGCAGTTGTTAGGCAGCTTTCTTAAGAAAAAAGGATTTGTATGATTAAATTCTTCATGCATGGAGATGTGTATCTGCCAGTTCCTTTTGAAACCTGTGAATATCTTGGCCATTTTCAACCAATAATTGAGATCAAAGTGCTCAGAGGCATAAAGTTTCTACATGTTTTGTGAGAACACAGTTTGAGTGATTATCCACAATCTATCAATTGTAAAATGAACTACAAAGATAAGTGGTTTGTAAGCAGTGCATCAAATGATGCTAAATGAGGAAAGCAATAAAAACAAAGAGATGTGGAGCTTTGCAGGGCAGCACTGCTGGAGCTGTGGGTGTTTGGTTCCCACCACTGCTGTAGGAGCAGTAAGGGGCCATTATTGTGGCCGTCTGTCTGGAAAATGGGGCAACAGCAACCCCCTCTCCTAGGCAGTACGGTAAGGCTGTGAGGACAGAGAGCCATCTCTTATCATGGGTATTGTGCAGACAGTTTCATGACAGAAGTCCTGGCTTGGCCAGCTGAAGTATCTGGTCAGTGCTGATGGCTGTGACTTGTGCCTCTGAATGCTCCACGTGTTCATCTGTGTGCACCTGAACACAAAGATCACCCATGAATTGTTCACCAAACCCTCCTGTAGCCGTTCAGGTGGAAGAAATATGCAAACATAAACTACTATCATCAAATGGAGATGGTTTGTTCTTAAACCAGGTCCCCTATGAACCCCTAACAAAGAATTCACCTAAAGCACACTTTGCTGTGCTTACAAATATTTTAGTGACATCATACAAGTTCAGAGCTGTTGAAAGAGAGCCCTTAAAATGAAGTGCTACGAGATATGTTTCCTGTGCTGAAAGGCAGATCAGTGAGCAGGGAACCCTGTGGTTCCAGCACAAGAAGGTTGCAGGTCAGTGGGGACCTCTTGGCCCTGTCCCCTCCTCACCAGCATGTTCTCAGGGTGCTGGTTCCTGACATTTCCCTCCTCCCTCCTGAGATTTTTGTGTGCTGTTGTAATGAAGATTTAGGTTCTGGGCTCCCTTTCCTGCTTCATCTAATCACATTCATTTTTTTTTAATTTTTTTTTTTTTTTCCAGAAGAGGGCCTTTAACATGCTAATGTGGAACAGATTTCAAGTGACTGGAGGAGAATGTGGCTAATTCTGGTCAAGGAAAAAACAACCTGACTTATTTCCTCTTTACGATGTTATTTCTTTGCATTGCAGTGGCACAGAAATACATCCTCTGGAGGAAAATAGTCCCACTGCCTCTGCAGGTTGTTTCTGCTTGTGCTGTCCAGGGCCAGGGGCCAGGGATGAGAAGCACCATCTCCTAGGTGGACTTTTCAGCTGAATGCTTCACTAGACATTACACTTATCTGGGGTAAAAGAATGAGCAAGGGTCCATTTAATGCCATTTGTAAAAACCCTGTCTCGCTGTTAGGGAGATTTCGTTTGGTTAAGTCCCTTACATGGTATATAAACCATCTGTGTATGTGTGTCGTAAAGCTGTTCAAGGCTTTTTCCATCAGAAATGCCAGTTTGTTGATATCCACAAACCCATTAACTCAAAATGTGTTTTTAAACAGTCAAAAGGGCTCCTTTTGCACTGTGTTTAAATATGAAAAACGTGGTTTCGAGTTAACTTTTCATTTAGAAATGTGAGTTATTTTGAATCCCAGCTGTTTGGGGTTTGCCTTCTGAGTTTCAGTCACAGGTTTTAAATCTCTAGCACAAGCAAGTGCAAGGGCAGTTGCTGGAGCCCAGAGCAATAACAGGGCAGAGCCTGGAGTCCAAGGAAGGAGTGAGCAGGAGCTGGAGCAGGGGGAGATGCTGGGGATAACAGAGGAGGGAGCTGAGAAAGCAGAGGTGTAAAATTGGGACTGAAACACCAGTTCCCTCCTGCAGATGCTCAGAAGGTGACTCCACTGCTCCTGACTAACACCAAGAAGCAAAATCCTCTCTGGTGGGAACATTTGCTCCCATCTCTATGTCCTGGTGGGTGCAAGGGACTGACTCCTGTGGCCGTGCCATGCTCCCACAAGCAACCAGCAGCTACCTGCTGTGGGAGAGAGTCCTCCCACATCTACAGAGAGATCCCTTTGGCTCTGTTTTTCAGTGTTCCCATATTTTTAAGCCATACAGTTTCAGGACCTCAAGGAACTTTGAGGTGAAAATCAAACACTGGATAGAACAATGTGTCAGAATTAAGGTTGCTGATGTGAGCCCCTGTTGGGTCCCTGTGCCTTGATGATGCTCTCCTTCAGTCACAGACACCCTCCAGCCCCTGAGCCTCTTGCTCAGCCACCCCTGAGCCCACAGCCCCATCCCACAGCCAGCCACAGACTGGATGTTGCTCCCTTTCCCAGTGGAAGTGAGTTTTCCCATCCAATCTCGCTCAACCCATCCCAAGGATGGCTGCTCCAAACGGAAGGATACTTCACACCCCTATGCCCCTATTCAGCCAGGGTTGCTTCTAGGGAAGCAGGAGCCATGGAAGTAACTACTATCTCCAAAACAGCATCCAAAAGAAAAGCTAGGAACACACAGCGGCCAGCCCACATCCTCTCACCATTTGGACTGAAGGATCTGTGCCTGCCCACAGAAAGAGCTTTCCCTGCAGCTCGTCCCATGCAGTCAGGGTGATCGTAAATCCTCCCCACATTTATGAGCTATGAATAGGGCCCTGTCTGACCTAACTAGGGCATGGAGAAGCTATTGGACTTCAGAGCAGGAGCCTTGAAACACATGCCTGGATTCATCAAAGGAATAATGGAAAATATTTGGTTCCACGTGGATTTTAAGTAATGATGTTTTTTCTAGCAATTAGGGATTTGCAAACTGTAGCCGTGCTTCTGAGTATTGTGGAAGAAGGGGATGTATGTTGTAATTTAAGCACAAAATTGAGAGCTGAGGACCTTGGTATGCTTCCCAGGCATGCAGCAGAGTGAGCATGGGGAAGTCGCTCTGCCTGTCTACATGGGCAGCTCTTCCTGTAATAACAGTCCGTGCCTGAAAATGTACCAGTATCTGTTGCTGAAGAGTTTGAAAGAAGCACCGAAGGGAGAAGTAATAATGAACACAGAAACAAAATGAAACGGGCTTCTAGTGCTTGTGCTACAGTGAAATCAACGCTGTTCACAGTTGGAGCTTATGGTTGCTTCTCACACCCTCACTTGTCTGTCACTTCCTACCTTCACCAGCACCGTGTCGCATTTTCTGAGGATGTCAAATGCAAGCATAATTAAACTTTCCTTTTATTCCTTCCCAGCTCTCTTGAGATAGAATTAGACACTCTCTGTATGTGTGTGTGCCTTTAGCTCTGCATATGGCAGATCCCATCAGGAATTTCAAAAGGAATTAAAAAACAGTGGTCCAATTCCTGCAAAACTTCTGTCTTCTTCTGGTCTGTCCTGATTTGCTTCCTGTGCTACAGTTCAGGTGGGGTGTAATGTAATAGGGTATCTGTAGCAAAAAGGACACTGAATTTTTTGACATCTCCATGGTGCACTTCAGAAGAAAGATGATGACAGTGAATCAGGTTTTATATACTAGAGAGCAAATATATTACCAGGGTCCAGAGTCTACAAATGAAGGGGAGAGAATGGTTGTTATTGGATAAATTGTTAATAGAATTGAATGGAGGAGTCAGAGGATCTCCATGCCAAGGCAATGCCAAGGAGTTCTCTTTGCAGTTTTCTGCACAGGGAGTTACATTTAAGTACAATTATTTTCTTTTATTAAAATGCATTATTGCTATTTTCTATGTGAAACACCGAGTTTGTCTGTGAACCGAAGCAAAAAATGTAAGGTCCAAATAAGAGGCAACTTTCACCTTTAAAAAAATTGTTCCTTTTGTTACTTTTGCCATTTCTTTATTGCCTAGCTGTAAACATTTGACAGTGTCTGTACTTTAAGAGCTGAAATGACCCATACTCAGATACCATCTAAAAGGACAGGAAATTGGATGAAAGATTTTTTCAAACCCTTGCATTAAACTTTATGAGAACATAATCAGTTCATCCCCAAAATAGTCACTAAAAGAGAAGTACTGCACTTGTGGATTTCAGCTTTCAGTGTCTTCTTCACCAGCAATGCAGGTTTCTCTGTTATTTGCAGACATTGTCATTTCCCAGACCAAACCAGATGGTAATTCTAGATTGGTCAAGCAACCTGCTATGCATGTGTACAAGTATGCAGCTTCAGCCTTGAGCTGCAATAGCTAAATCAGCACTGGGCAGACAGACAGGTAATAGCATTATTACCACGTTGTGGTTTCCATGTCATTCCTAAGTTTGCTTAGCTCGGGGATCCATTACAGCCTGCCTTCAGATTTATTGCCTCAAGCTCAGAGCAGTACATGTGTCTTCCAATGGTTCTGAAATTTGTTCTTCCAAGTGTTTGCCAGCTCAGTCTGATTTACCTCCTTTTTTTTTTTATTTTTTTTTTTTAACTTCCTCCTCATTCATCATGGCAGACAGCTTGTATTGGACCAGGTTACTTAATTGGTTTGGCAGGATTTTCTGGGATCCTTTTTTTAATACAAACAGTCATGAAAGCTATTAAACGGCTGCCTTGCCACCTTTTTTTTTTTTTTCTGGAAAAATATTTTGATCCTAAGGCTAAAGCTTCATATCCTGTGCAGTGCCAAGTAAGAATGTCTCCAAGAATTTGTCGTTGTCATTTGGCCACTCTGGTCCATGTGGTGCGTGTTCCCTTCGAACGCCCGCCACGGATCCACAGCTTCAGCTGGAGTGATTAATGTCTTCATGGTGCACAAGTAATGCTGGTTTTGTTCCTTATGTAAACCTTGTCCTGAAACTCATCAGGAGGCAGTAATGCTACAATACGTAGAAGAGTCAGAATTTTTAAATGCAGGTAAACTCTCTGGGGGGGAATGTGGTACTCTCTTTTTTAATGCCTTGGGGAAGTCAAAGAGAATTTTGCCCGTAGTGTCTGTTTCTCTAAATGATCTCTCTTGTTTTATCTTGGTCCTAAGAAACCTGTACCACCAGGGTTTGATCAAAATACAGTGGAAGGTTTTCAATAGGACTGAGTATGCAGGTTTTACTTCCATCAGAAAATGGTATTTATCCTTCAGATTTTTCAGACAGAGCATTCCGTTAAGGCCACATCCGAGATGAAGCTATAATGATGAAATAGGAGTGCAAATATTGACTTCTTTTTTATATCTATTCCAGGCAGAATATGAAATTGCTCCAGATGAAAAGCTGGGAGAGAAAGGAAAGGAAATCATGATGAAATACCTCACCCCAGAGGTAAGGGGCAGCCAAAGTGGCATTACTGAAGGAATGCTGCAAGGCACACCTTTGCTAAACAAGGTTGTTATAGGCTTTGTAAGCCAGACTTCTAAAATTTATGGTGGCAATCTCCAGTGAATAAACCTGCAAGTCTTATACAAACAGTCAGAGAGGAAAAAAGCTGTAATCCAATCCAGAAATTGACTTCTAAGGATGAACTTGAGTTTACCAGGGGCTTAATTCATCTGTGGATGAGCAGGGGCCTTCTCTGATCTCTTCTCGGTGTGCAAAGCTCTACATCTGTTGTGTAATGCAAGAGACCTCAGCTGTTATCAACAGATGCTACAGCTCTTTCCTATTCAGCTCCAAAGAGGTGGTGGCATTTCATGTACTGGTGTGTAGAAAGCACCAGCCAAAATGGTCTTGGGTAACAGTTGCTGAGCTGTGGTACAAAAATCTCCTCTCCTGTCCCCACCACCACGGGCCCCAGGGCAGCCAGGGTCATGCAAGGCTGACGTGGGACAGCGTGGTTTGGAGCTGAGAGGTGCTACCAGCCCTCCTTGTTTCCACCCTGTCCCTTCCCTGGGTGGTGTGGCACCCTGGGGCTGTCAGGAGAGGACTCATGGCAGGAGCTGTGTCCACAGGGTGGCACTCCACACAGAACTACGGATCTGCTGCCGGAGCTTTGGACGGGCTGCACTGGGACTCACCCCCTTGGGGAGGGGGGGTTACAGTCATTTGCTGACTGCATTTAACCTTTGCAGCAGAAGTCACTGCCCGTAAGCAATAAACATCCAACTTCAAACGCAAGAGCAATCCTCGGATTTCTCCTAAGTTGCTTTCATAAGAGTAATGAAGACATACAGTTGCTGCTTCAACTGTTTTACTAGGGAACGACATTTGACCTTCAGGAGCATTAATTGCCTTTTTGGCAGATGTCTTTCTAGAGCATTTAAATGGTACAATATGTTTTGGAGGTGCAGGGGCAAAGCAGACCACTTTTTTTTCCCAGTCACTCATTTTCCTACAATAAATTTCAGTGCATACTTTCAGTTATCTCAGACTGCACTTTGGGATCTGGTTTCATTTACTGAGCCTGGCTAGTTTCATGTGCAGCCACTGAGCACTGCCAGTATGAGTTCCTGCTGCCCATTCATTAGGGGCATAAAGTTCCACTGCTTTTTAAATCCACCAAAATGACCATTTGTCTTAAAATTTCTGTTAACAGAGGAACGAGGTACAAATACCAAGGGAAAATATTTCTCACTGCTCCAGTTTCCATCTGGAAATGGAGAAGGGCATTTTGCTGGTAGCAGACCTAGTAAAGTGGGAGAAGGATAGTACTGCTTCTTGGCAGCCAGTCTTGGTGCAGGTTTCCAGATGCCAAACCCATTCACTGCTGTCCCATGGCACTCCTGCCATCTGTAGTGAAGTTGAAGCACATGGAATAGGTTAGTAAGGTAATTGAATGTGTGGTGAAGACCAATCTGAGAGCAGTTGGTTCTTCATCAAGAAAAAAAAAATGGTGGTGTTACAGGAAAGGAAATTACTGGGTCTCCAGACCTGGATTTTCCATTCTCTGCCATGCTCTGCTCTTCATATTTGACCTGTGTACCTGTTTTTTTCAGTATGTAAGATGGGCACAGGATACTTACAGTCTGTTCTGCAGCTTTTTGGGTATTTGCAAGTTACCTTACCATCTTTGGGCAGAAGGAAACACAAAGATATGCTCCTTCACTTGGAATCTAAAACTGCCTCCATGGTGGTGCTGGTGTTTTAATGCCTGCATTGGTCTCGCTGCAAATTTTTTCTTAATGGGAAACTCTTCTTCTGAGAGGGATATTTAAGCCCTGTGTAGCAGAAAATACTTCCTATAGATGAGTTTGACTATGGCATAGCAATAGATTTTCTAATATGTCTCCTACACAACAACTACTTTAAAAACTGGAGCAAGGCCTGGATTAATTTAATTTCTTTTCAGATACCTAACTAAAGTGCTCAGGTGAGGAGCTCAGATCACTTGCTGTCCTTTCTTGCAGAGAAAGAGAATTAAGTATCTCCAAAGGCCACATTTTAAGCCATTAGAAGTCAGTGATTCAAAGCCAGGTTAGATACTTCCAAATGTCCTCATGGAGTATCATCCTGGCCAGCAAAGAAACCTTCTCTTCATTAGGAGCTGCATTTCTCCATTTAGTTGCCAGTCCTTTGAAAGATACAAATTGCTACTGATTCCAAAGTCTTCTGCTTTCAGAGGAGCACTTCTTTTAAGTAGGTGTGTGTCTGTGCTTCAAAGAACTTGATTGTCTTCATATAAAATAGTGTGACATGCAGCTTGACTGATAGAATCAAATTATAGGTTTAGTCCTTGGACAGATTATTCAGTCTTACAATGTGAGGAGTATTTTTCCCTGAGTGCAGGATCAGAAGCAAAATGAAAACAAAAAGTAGACTTTGTGCTCTTTAATATTTATAAATTATTTTTAGTTCTTACTGAGATTTTTAAATGTCATGCATATTTAACATACAATGTGTCAGTATATCCTTGTTCTAAAGTTCATTTTCATAGGGAGCATGCACTTTATTTAATAAAACATATACTACTTGCACAGCAGAAAGGAGAAGAAAAGGCTTTCCCAGATGACTAGACATCACACCAGCACTTAGTGCCTCATGTCACTCTCTCAGCCACTGTCTGCAAGATGCTGCTACACAACACAGTTTGCAGGCTCAAACCTGTGGGAGCAGTGAATTCCCTCCTGGAAAGCTCTGTGTGAGAACATTCAGCATCAGCCACGAGGCCACTGAACAGGCTCAGCACTTGCCAAGATGGTCACGGGGGGAAGGCACTTTTTCAAGTAATCACAATTCAGGCTCTTTGCAGCTTTAACACCCTGAACAGCCCCTGTGTGCTCACTGGGGAAGGTGAGAAGAGGTCTAGCAGCCTTCTGTCGTGGTTGACACCAGGGATAGCTTGAGCAGGTCAGGCTTGCACCATCTCCCTGGCCTACAGGCAACAGTGATGAAAAATTCTGAATGTGTTCTGGCAGCTGGAAGGGAAAATGGGTGGTTTAGGTCTCTTGTAGAAGTGACACGCAGGAACAACCTCCCTAAGGATGTGGAGTCCCTAGGTGTCCCTCAGTGTCCCTAAGGTGGAATCCTCATCACTGGAGGTTTTCAAGATGCTATTGGTCAGGGTGTTACATAATATACATCTAGGCTCCCTTTCCCATGAAAAGTTGGCCAGATGATCTTTACAGACCCCATCCAACCTGAGCTGTTCTATGAATCTATATACTTGCAAGAGCAAGGTTTCTTGACTGGAGTCTTGCTTTTTCAAGAGAGGCTTTAACAGTTTCCATGAAAAAGGCACTTAAAGCTGCCTTCTTGAGTTAATAAGCCCACAGGACAAAAGTCCAACCCACAGGAAGTCTAAAATTTCTGAGGTTGTGAAATATGATGGTAAAACTGCTAAAATGAATTGGTTACAAATATTTCTTTCCTGGCTTTTCCTAATCTCAGCAGTTGAGTGGGAATGTTTCAGTTTTAGGTTCCAGTTCTGTCTGTAAATGGAAAAGCCCTCGGTGCTTTGTGGAGCAGTTGAGCTAAACTGAACCCAGCCTGGCCTCCTCACCTGGCTGCTTCTTGTACTGGAAGGGCAAAGAGATATGTTTACCTTTGTACTGCTTTTAAATTAGAGGTTTGCATCTCCACACAGCATTTTTGCCTTCCTGCCTGACAGCTGCCATCCCTCACTGTACTAAATCACTAGCCCATTATTTTCTTTTACACTGTAAATCACCTTGAGATACTATGAGAGATGCTATGTAAAACTAAATTGATTTGAAATGGCTCTTCAGACAGTCTCCACATGCTATTACAGTTTATATTTGGACCCAGCTGGGTACTAAAAATGTTACTGAATAGGATGTCTAATGTGTATTGTTATCCCCATTAATATCCTTCACAGAACAGCAACAGCATTAGTTTTCTTAACTGAATTCCTGTTCAGTCTCCCTTCCTCCAGGAAAGGCACAGAATAAAGGCCACGTCTGCAGTTTCTTGGCTGCAAGAGGCTAGCTGAACCCAGCAACAGCCTCCTTACTCCAGTCTAAGGCTAGCAAAGGGTATTTTGCTAAATGAAAATATGTCTTTGTTTCTATGAACAATTATAGGATAAGGAAGGTAAAGAGCAGTCCTGTGAAAGGGAAACTGGCTGATCAGCATTACCTGACCTTCCACGTGTCTATTAACTAAAATGTGCTCTTCTCTCAAGTCAGTTCTTCATGGAGAAGAAAACATCCATGTAATGAGTAATATGAAGTTAAAATGATACATGAACCTTTTCTGCTGGACAAAGCCATGCAGCTGCATCCAGGTTCCTGCTCACAAACACCCCCTCTCAGCTCTGCACCTTGAGACTGGTCTTTCTGCAGAGCATTTCTTTAATCTTGATGCCAAGGATCTTTGCCTTCTGTTGCTTTCTCCTTGAGATTTCTTTCCCCCTTCCTATTTTCACCACCAAAATAACTGCAGACTTCAGCACTTGTGCTTCTGAGTGAGTCATCCCCGCTGATCACCAGAGCCTTCCATCTCCCGTAAGGAAGGTCTCATGTATCACTTTTTAATGATTCTGGCTGAGTCCTGGAAGGGCAGGTCATACCATACCAAGAATTGGATTCGAGTACTGAGATGTCTTCCTCTAACTGTTTAGTTTTACTAAATGCCTTCTAGGGAACATGTTATAATTAGGTTTTGGAATGGCCTAAACAAAAGCCGAATGTCACTGTAAGGGAAGCTCTGAAAGAAAGACACATTGAGATTCTGTAAAGCAATCTGCAGAGCTTAACACGGCACAGAGGCTTTCTGTTTTGAAAGGTGAGCCTTCAGGGACTGTTTTCTACATTGTTACCCTGCTGGTACAAATTCAGCTTATATCACTCCTATCCAGCAGGTCCTCCCCCTCCTCCTGTAAGCTTATTATCTGCTGATAAACGGCCGGCACAATATCACTTCTCACT